ACAATCCCTCCTCTTTCTCGACGATTGGATTCCTGGAGCTCCAGCTAGGGCCTGGCTGTGGATCTCTGCATCTGTTTCCATCAGTCATTGGATGAGATTTCTAGCATGACAGTTAGGGTGTTTGGCCATCCTATCACCAGAGTAGGTCAGTTTGGGCTGTCTCTCGACCTTTGCCAGTAATCTATTGTGGAGGTATCTTTGTGGATTTCTGGGGACCTCTCTAGCACTTTGCTTCTTTCTATTCCCATTGGGTCTTCATTTATCATGGTCTCTCTTTCCTTGTTCTCCCTCTCCCTCTTGATCCAGCTGGGATCTCCCACTCCCCTAAGCTCTCTTTCCCTTGACCCTTGCCTTTCATCACCACCCCCCTCATGTACAGTTTGCTCATGTAGTTCTCATCCATTTCTCTGTCAGTGGGCAATCCCTGTGTCTTTCTTAGGGTCCTGTTTTCTAGGTAGCCTCCCTGGAGTTGTGAGTAGCAGTCTAGTCATCTTTGTTTTATATCTAGTATCCTCCTATGAGTTGTGAGTACATACCATGTTTGTCTTTCTGAGTCTGGGTTACCTCACTCAGGATGATTTTTTCTAGATCCATCCATTTGTCTGCAAACCTCACGATGTCATTGTTTTTCTCTGCTGAGTAGTACTCCATTGTGTATATGTACCACATTTTGTTTATCCATTCTTCAGTTGAAGGGCATCTAGGTTGTTTCCAGGTTCTGGCTATTACAAACAATGCTGCTATGAACGTAGCTGAGCATGTGCCCTTGTGGTATGATTGAGCATTCCTTGGGTATATGCCCAAGAGTGGTATAGCTGGGTCTTGGGGGAGATTGATTCCAAAATACCTATCAACTCCAATTTGTGCTGTCTGTATAATTTTAGATGTGTAGTTTTACCCTGGAGTATGTACTCAGTGGCTACACTTTTAAGGAAAACTGGATTTTCCTGTCCCAGAATCTATTAATCCATGCATTTTCAACTAGGGGTAGGATTTCATGACCACCTCCCCTTTCTATGTTAGGATTTAGCACGGCTTAAGCATGCACAGATATTGTGTGTGCTGTCATATCCTCTGTGAATTCATATGTGCAGCTGCCCTTCTATGTCCAAAAGATACACTTTCCTTATATTAATCAATCACCTCTGGCTTTTATACTCTGGCCATCACCTCTCTTGCAATGATCCCTGAGCTTTGGGAGGAGGATTTGTGATAGAAATATCCTATTTGGAGATAAGCACCCCATAGTCTCTTGTTCTCTGAACCTTGGCCAGTGGTAAATCTCTGCGTTTATTACTGTCTATACTACTTTAAATAGAAGTTTCTCAGATGAAGATTGATAGATGCATTGATCTATGTATATAACATTAAGTCATTAGGAGTCAATTTGATATTATGTCCATTTAGCAACATAATAGTAGTAGGGTCTCCCCTACAGCCTATGACCTAACTAGCCACAGGTTCTTGGCCAAATAATAGTGCCAGGTATGAGTTTCACCTTGTGGAGCAGGACTTAAATACAATCAAACAGTGATTAGTTACTGTCTTAGTTTGAGTTTTATTGCTATGAAGAGACACCATGACCACAACAACTCTTACAAAGAAAAATATTTAATTTGAGCTGGCTTACACTTTAGAAGTTTAGTCCATTATCATCATGGAAGGAAGCATTGTGGCATTCAGCCAGACATGGTGGTGGAGAGGTAGCTGAGAGTTCTGCATCTGGATCCACAGGCAGCAGGATGAAACAGTGACACACTGGGCCTTGCTTGAACTTCTGAAACCTTAAAGCCCACCCCCAATGACACATTTCCTGTAACAAGGCCACACCTCCTAATAGTGCCACTCCCTATGAGCCCATGGAGGCCATTTACTTTCAAACCACTACAGTTACTCACATGATATTCATATGATCACATCAGTGGGAATGTCTTATTAGGCAATCATTAGTTGCTACTGGGCCATGTAGCTAGTTTCAGGCCAACTTGTAATGTACAATAAGAGGGATAAAGTAAAAGATAGATCCTAGCTACTCAGTCACTCTACATCTGTTTGTATAATTCTATGTATTGATTCAAGTGTTTGTGCCAGTATAATGGACAGCCTTGCTGGTGACTCCAAACCAAAAGGTGAACATATCTCAATTAACAAAATATAATAATCTCTACATAAATGTTGGAACAGGAGTATGTATTACTAATCTTTAACCCACAATTCCATGACAGTGTTGTAAGGAGAGGCACAAGTCAACCAGCCAAGTACAAGCCTAGGGGAACAAGTGTCTTGTGAATGCAAACAAGGAGAGTCACCCAAAGAAACTCAGATCATAAATAAGGTGACAGTATGTTGTCATTACATCTAAAATGTCCTGGGTAGATGTGGCAGGTATTCTTGGAAGTCAGGGGATGAATGAAAGACACTCCTCCTCTGCCACTCAGTCCAGAGACAAACTACACACACATACACATACACACACACACACACACACACACACACACACACACACACACACACACACGAGAGAGAGAGAGAGAGAGAGAGAGAGAGAGAGAGAGAGAGAGAACACACTATTTTGGGCCCCTCCCCTCAGTTAACACAAGAGATTCTGAGTCATCCTCTCCTGAGCATCATCCATTACTGTTCTGAACAGGACTGGACTTGTTTTCAACAGACAGCTGGATCTAGGGACCACATCTCACTTCTTGATGTCATTAATTGGATTATGAGTCAGAGTTGTAATGAAGACAACTTTTGGTGTCACTGGTAACTGTCAAGGGAAATGTAAACGCAGAGGCCCAAAAGCCACAGAGGGAAGGCAAGCAGGAGAGATTTGCTTTGTTTATTGGGCCCATGTGGTCATCGGATCAATGGTCAGCATCATGGGACTTTTGTGTAGACAGACCTTCAGTTTTTTCTGCTGCTCCCAGAGGCCCTTAGATATGACCAGCTTTCACCCAGAGTGGCTCATTAGTAACAGGAAAAAGCAGAATGAAGCAAAAGTTGACTCAAAATAGCCAGAGAAATAAACTGAAAAGAGAGATAAACAGTAAATTGTCTTACATGCAAACCAGGCCAGCTCCTTCTGTGATGATAGTGTAGAATGCACCGGGGCATCTTCATCAAAGAGTTAAACTTCAGAGGATGATAAAAATATCCACCCTGACTTAGCAATCCCACAAAAGCTTAGTACATACACAATCTTGTATCTTGTAGGTTATGCTGAATAAAAAGCATTGTCTGAGCAAATCATCATCTCCATCAATTTGAAAGTCAAACTGCATGTATAGGATTCTCAGCCTCTCTAATATCCCTGTAACCCTCTCAGACTTCACATCCTCTCCTTGCTTTTGGCTTATACACTATCAGATCCAGCTGCAGTCTTCCTTTATTTTTAAAATCCCCTGGTCTATTGTAACGTTTATAGCTAGCAGGAGGCTCATCTTCAGTCCTTGGGACAGGATGCATTATGACATCATCTGAGGAAGTTATAAGGTACCTGTTGCTTAGGCCCCTTAAGGACTCCACTCCTGAGCAAAGTCATATATCCCAACACTTTACAAACCAAAGCACAGGAAGACACAATATCAAATCAAGATTCACTCTCTAGCAGAGACTGGAGGCCCCTGAAGGAGAAGAGACCAGTGTCAGGATGCTTGGTTATCCTCACTTTGTTCTGAGTGAGGCTGAGAGAAGTCAGGCTAGAAGGGACAAAGAGTAAACCAGGCCTGACTATCATGCCAGAGTTTGAGAGAACAGAGAGAAAGAAGGGTTTGAGTCCTTGCCACCACATAATTTAGGGGTCAATGATGACTTATCAGGGGTCAAATTTGCCTCAATCCAATCCAGCTCCATGATTCATTTCCTTGACAAGTTAGACGTCCACTCCCTGTCCTCTTTCCCTCTTTAGTAAAGTGGTGAGGGGGTAAAAGCCTGTTAGGCTCATGGCTTATCTGTCCATGTTAATGGAAGCAATAATACAATGACTTGAATATAACAGTGTTCATAACCTCAATGTGTGCTCACTTTTACCATGAACAAGGCTTCATGTACCAGTCTCATTGACTTTTTCCTCAAAGAGTCTAGAAATCACCCACTGTCCACAAAAAGAATAGCTCCTCATCCCAGGCAGCCCAGGGGTCCTGAAAAGCTTCTGTGGTGGTATCTAAGTTGCCCGTTTCCTCTTTCTCACTCAGGTCACCAGATAAATCCTTGCATCTTGGAAATCTACAAAGGTGGCATGACTTAGGTGGGTGGGTTGGAGCAGTGTGGTTGCTATGCCACCACTCCTTGAATTGGGTGGGTGCCAAGGGGTGGGACCTTGGCAGGCTATTAACCATTCTGCCTCTGGTAAACACCAACTAGGAATAGGACCTTGCCCAGCTTCAGCAAGCAGCAGACTTTGAGATCCAAATGCATTGTAAGCAAAATAAAGTCAAAAGCCATGGATTTCCTGTTAGTTTCCTATTTGAGTGGTGCAATCTAACCTTGTCACATGTCTGTTTATATAGTTCTGTAACTGATACCTATTCAAGACACAGTTCCCGTTCTGGGAACTCCAACACAGAGCACAAAAGGACCAAGTAACCTGCTCACCCAAACAAACATGTCATGGAGAGCGGAGGATAAAGTTAGAGGCCCACCCATTTCAGACAGAAACTATTGTCATCAGATATCTTGATGAAGTGTTAGTGCTCACATCTGAGTTGGTCTGAACCGTATTTCTGAGCTTCCGTGATCTTAAAGCTTTCCACACTGAGATTAACACTGCCCCAGCACATGCAGTGCCGGAGCGCAACATTTACAAAGGGAAACAACTTGAAAGTAAAGGAAACCAAAAGGCATAATTACCCCAGGCAACTGTTTTGTTCACGCCGTGACTGTGGTGGTTTTAAACCCTTATAATTTATCACAGCTCAGAGCAGTTTAAATCTCAGCTGTGCTCCTCTGAGAAATCGAGATGCTTCTCTTTCTTTATGCCTCCTGACAACCTATTCTTTTAATATCATCTTAGTTCTGAGACGGCACAGACCCTGCTCTGCCTTCGTCACGCAGAGAGAAACGGCTGGCAGCAGCAGACGGTTACCTTTGCATGAGGCTGCCAGGAACAAACAAGCAGTGAGTGGAGCAATTCCGAATGGGGATCATTTCTCTCAGGTTCAAGTATCAGTTTGCTTGTTTTGCGGCTGTTAATCACCTCTTAAGCAAACAGTCTCTTTATCTATGTACTCTGCCTCATTTCACTTTCAAATTATGTGTGTGTGTGTGTTGCTCCTAACAGCTTATTATGATCTATAATTAACAATTTTGTTGAAAGCAGAGCTGAGCCCTAAAGAGAAGCACAGACTATCTGAGAAGTAACTTGAAACAGGAGGTCTTTGTTTTCACAGGAGATTTGACAAGCAGCATCTCGCTCCTTTCTCTGTTGTGATCCATTGTGTTCAGAAATCCCCAAGTACAGACGCAGAAAATTGAAATGTTTCACATTGGGGCTAAATTTCAATTTGTTACCTTCGGACGTGAATAAACGGGGGGTGGGGTTGGGGGGGTGTTGGTTTAGAACCATGACTAGGATTAGGCACCACTTAGAATCCACAGGAAAGCAGGAGCAGTGGGCAGGACTACCCCCAGCACAAGGATGCTTTCTGGAAGCAGCTTGGGAAAGCTCCCAGGTAATCAACAAAGTACAACCAAGTCTTGGGACTGTTGAGACAAATTCTCTAGTCTTCCCTGCAGAAGCCCAGGAGAAAAGGAAGAACAGGGAACAATTAAGTGGTTAAAGGTGGAATTTACTACGCTGCTCTAAAACAGTGGTTCTCAAACTGTAGGTCGTGACCACTTTGCAAAACCTCTACTTCCAAAAATATTTACATTATGCTTCATAACAGTAGCACAATTACAGTTATGAAGTAGTAGTAAAAATAATTTTTTCATTGGGAGTCACCACAACATAAGAAACTGTGTTAAAGGGCATTAGGAAGGTTGAGAACCACTGTTCTAAAACTTAGATTATGTTCCAAGCCCAAGGTACATTTCCGGTCTAAATGACTCGCATTCTTGTTGTGGGATGGTCTGTATGTCAAATGTGTTGCTGATTGGTCAATGAATAAATCACTGATTGGTCAGTGGCCAGGCAGGAAGTATAGGCGGGACTAACAGAGAGGAGAATTGAGAGAACAGGAAGCTGAGTAAAGAGACACTGCCAGCCGCCATCAGGACAAGAAAGATGTAAAGTACCGGTAAGCCACAAGCCACGTGGCAAGGTATAGATTAATAGAAATGGATTAATTTAGGCTGTAAGAACAGTTAGCAAGAAGCCTGCCACGGCCATACAGTTTGTAACCAATATAAGTCTCTGTGTTTACTTGGTCGGGTCTGAGTGGCTGTGGAACTGGCGGGTGAGAGATTTGTCCTGACTGTGGGCCAGGCAGGAAAACTCTAAGCTACACATTCTTTTTACCCATCTTTTATTTTATACAAATTTACTGAGTATGTAGCAACAATCTCACTCTTGGAAGCAGATCTTAAGGTAATGAAGTCATCCCGTAGGCAGACTTCCTGGATATGTTCTGGCATAGATAACCCATGTTTCCTTTCCCTTTAATGACTGGAGAATATTTTCTGTGAGACTTAGGAAAGACCGACAGCTGTGCAACCTTCATGGGACTGGACTAGGGCCTCTGCGTAAGGGAGACAGTTGTGTAGATTGGTCTGTTTCAGGGGCCCCTGGCAGTGGGATCAGGATCTATCCCTGGTGCATGAGCAGGCTTTCTGGAGCCCATTACCTATGGTGGGATGCCTTGCTCACCCTTGATACAGCGGGGAGTGCCTTGGTCCCATCTCAACTGAAAGTACCAGATTTGCTGTATCCCCATGGGTGGGCTTACCCTTTTGGAGGAAGGGATGGGGGGTGGACCAGACTGGAACGTTTGGGGAGGGGGATCAGGAGGAGGGATGAGAGAGGAATCTGTGGTTGGTATATAAAAATGAATTTAAATTTTTTTTTAAAAAGCTACAAAGGACACAGGACACAGTTCTTGAGGTCTGTGCTAATGGTCTTGGGTAGGTCTGGTTTGCTGTTCACATAGGTAACAAATTCTTTCCTGAGAGACAGAAGAACAGCTGAGCATGGCCTTTAGTTTGAGACAGCTTCACAATCTTGAGTCCTATCTCTTTTTCATTTGGAATGCAAGTTCGAAGCCCTTCTATGCTGCTCTTCTAAACTTAATTCTAAAATGAACCAGATGCATTTCCTGTACCCTCGGCACATTCTTCACTTGAAGCTGCTCTGTATTCTGTCTCTTACTTTATTTTAGCATGAGCACAACCAGTTTTATCTAGTCAACTATTTGTTCATTGCAAACACATCCCAATTAAAGGTGCTACAGGAGATTAGGATGTACCTCCACCAAAATGCCACATTAGCAGAAATGTTTTTAGTTGAAACAATAGAGTAATAGCAAATGATGCCACTAAAGCCTTCTATACACCCTAGGATACAAATTTCCACTTTTAAGGTAATATCCCATTGCTGTCTGAAGAAATCTTAAAGAGGCCTGTAGACAAATTTCTAAATGGTCTTATTAAATAAAAAACACAGAGCCAAATATAGAGGTGAAAGCCTTAGATCAGGGAAATAGGGAAAGCAAACAGCCAACCTTACCTTACCTACTCTGCAGCTTCCAAATGAAGCTACTTCCTGTCTTCCCATGCCTTTATTGCCTTGCTGTTCTGCCCTCTCATTGGCTCTCTTAGCCCAGCTACCTTACTTTCTCTTCCTACATAGCTCTGTCACTTTCTGTCTGTCTGTACAGACCTCCAGGCCTCTATGGTTGGTACTGGTATTAAAGGCATGTGTCACCATGCTTGGCTCTATTCCCTAGTGTAGCCTTGAACACACAGAGATCCTGCCTGCTAAGGGATTAAGGGCGTGTGCTGCCTGACTTCTTGTTGCCTGACTACTTAAAATGGCTGGCCTTTTCCCCCTGACTGCAGGCAAGCTTTACTTATTAACATATAACTAAAATATCACCTCATTTCCCCTTTTTTGTCTAATAAAAAGTAAAAAAGTTATAACTAATATAAGAAAAACTATATACAATAGTTATAATAATTATACAATATGTTCAAGCAAAAAAGGGGGAAGTGATGGGGAAATGTTTTTCTGTATGCTGTGAAAATATGTTGCTCTGACTGGTTGATAAATAAAGCTATTTGGCCTATGGTAAGGCAGCTTAGAGGCAGGTGGAAAATCCAAACCAAAGAAAAAGGGGAGGTAAAGCAGAGACCCCAACCACTACCAAAGGAACAACATGCCAGCAGACCAGTAAGCCATGGACACGTGGCAACCTATGGATTAATAGAAATGAGTTAATTTAAGATATAAGAGCTAGCTAGCAAAAAGCTTGAGCCATGGCCATTAAGCCTCTGTGTGTTTACTTTGGGGGCACAAATGTGAGAGATTTGTACTTACCGCTGGCAGGCAGGGACACAGGAAATCTTCTGACTACAGAGGCCCTTAATCACTGTAGACACTTATCAGCCCAAAGAAGGCACAAGAAACCTCACTAAAGTAAGTCTTCTCTCCTGTTCATTTCCTTATAGTTTGCTAGCCATAAAAGCCTAAATACCTCCCCTTTGTCCTGATGTTTCTCCTTACACTTACTAATCTTTGCTACAATGCTAGATAAGACCCATGTTAGAACCAAACCTCTCAGATCATTGAGCTTGTACTTCTAGGAGCACTGTGTTGTAATACATTCATTTTTCTCTTGTTTATCTTTTGTCTGTTAAAAGAGACCCATCTACAAAATCTAGGAAAGTAGAGGTAACATTCTGTTTTGCTTTGTCTTGTTTTTTCCCATTCCTTATCATTTTTAATACTGAATTTTACAAGAATAAATTATATATTTGGATATGGAGGGACAGCCATCTTTTTCTCCTATCTTTTTATCCTATGGGTGGTCATTGGATTTAACAAGGGAGCTTTCATAATTGAAATTTCTTAAGTTTCATGTTCTGATTCTGTATCAGATTTCTTACATTATGCCCAAGAATCTGTAGTTTGGGAAACTCCTGACATGAAACTGATCAGAATCTGTTTCTAGAATCCACTGATCTAGTCCATAGGTTAATGTTGGTCAAATTAGGTAAAAAGTTAGGAGTCACCCTACTGACAGTGGTTCAACTTGTGGGTCCTAACCCCTTGGGGGTCAAATGACCCTTTCACAGGGGTTGCCTAAGACCATCAGAAAACACAGATTATGAAACAGCAATGAAAATTACAGTTATGAAATAATTTCATTTTTGAGGGGGTCACAGGATTAGGAAGGTTGAGAACCACTGCTAATAGAGATGGTGCAAAGGAGGATTTAAGAAGCAGGCAAGATCCGGTGTGTACTTGGGTGACCTCACCAGACTCCAAAAGATAGTGCTAATCCAGTGGTCAGACAGGTGCCCTGGTTAAATAAGCGGGTCACAAAATAAAACCCAATGTTTCCAGTCTGGATAAGGAGGAAGAGAGGTATACAGGTAGGAAGGAACAAAAAGAGAGCATGAGGGAGAGAGTAAACAGAGTGTATTAAGTCTGTGAAATTGTCAAAGAACTAACTTCAATAAGAATACAAATTAAAACATTTAAGAAATAATATGAGGATGCTGAAGTATAGCTCTCCACTATTGATGACTTCTGGTGGGAGGGGAAGGACTCAGTTCTGTTTAAAGGGCAGACCACTGAAAGTTTGACCATGCCCCAGTGAGTATATGGATAGCACAAACTGGACTTTTTCTATTTTTTTAACAATTTTTGGGGGGTTATAAGGGTGGGGGGAAGACATGGAAGGACTGGGAAGTGAGAGTGATGGGGTACATGATGTGAAATTCCCAAAGAATCAATAAAATATTAAAAAATGTAAGAAAAACGAGGGAAACAAGTTATTTATATAGTGTCACAGTTTTGCAAAAATATAAATATTAAATATGTTTTCAAAAATAATTTTGCAAGAATTTTGACACAAAATAACTGTCCAAGCAGAGGTATATAGCACAAATCTTAAAAGGTCTTATTAATAAAAACAAACCTGGTGCCAGTTATTGGGGAGAACACTGAAAGATCAGAGAAGCAGAACCAGCTACAGCTACCTCACCTTGCCAACTTC